TTCAGCAGGTGCTAAATCTGAACAGATTGTGTATTTCTCAAGTTACCTAATAAAAAGAGAGTGCAAAGCTCAGATGTACAAGGAGCTCAGTATGTGGCCTCATATCAAAGCCTCTCTACATTGGAAGAAGAGGTAAATTCTATATGGGAATCTTTGCAACAATTGAGTCAGGTATGTGGTGTTTGTTTTTTCTTTTGTGTGGCACAGCTATATTTCCTGAATCAGAACTGGTATTTTTCTCTGTGTTCAGTTGCTTGGTGACTTCATCTCAACACGTGAGCAGATGACTGATCGTTGCATTGATGACTTCTTGCACTCAGTAACGCTGACTGGCAGGTTCTTACCTGGAATTCCATCCAGACTCCTCAGAAGGAGTGTGTTATGAGTGTCCAGTACCTCTCTTGGCCTGGGATTTAGGGAGGAAAATCCTTTGGCATGATTAGTTTGCAGATCATTCTTCAGAAGTAGCCTGTCCTGGGACATGTCTGTCAGGTGGCATTTCCCTTACCTCTTTGTGGTGCAGCTCTTAACAAGAATTTGGCAGAAAAGGCCTTTGGTTGATACTCTAGTAAGCATTCTGTGGTCTGAGTCTCTGTGAATTCCACTGTTGTGAACTTTTCCTTGGGAGGAAGAAACCCAGGATTTTGTGCAAGTGGCCTATTTCACTTACCTCTTTGGACTGAAGTTGTATATATTCTTCTGGAAAGCCTATCATGGATTTTTTTTGGTTTTTTTTCAGTTGCAACAACTGTTGACAGACCTTCCTCATGATATGCTGGAGGACAGTGGAGACCAGCTCTCCAGTTATTCTGACTGCAGCATTCAGGAGACTGAGGAGCAGTAAGGCATTTGGCACCATGTTGTTGTTCTTTATGTTGTGCTTTGGGGAATAGAATAAAGCAAAGTCTCAGTTGATGAGGTGTATAAAAGCATTGCAAGTAAAAGGGGAGCTGTAATGCAATGTGCAGTCAACTAGATGTCCCTTAATTTAAGAAGAGATGGTTGGATTTGTTTTTTCCTGAAGCTATAAGTACATAGCTGCTTGTGTTTCTCTAGATCACATGAGCCTGGGAAGCATGATGGAAGGTGGACTGACCATCCATTGATAAGTGATCCTCAAAATGTAAGTTTATATGAGCAGTGGTGTAATTGGCATGAACTCCTTGTTCATAATAATGTGCTAAATATTGTTTAAATTCATTAGAGAAATAATGGACTGTTGTAAGTCATGTGGTTGACATGTTTTGCTGTTCATTTGAAGTATCTCTAACCTCTTGGGGGCTGGTGAGTCTTGGGGACTGGTGACCTCAGAAACAGGAGGGCAGGGGGAAATCTGAGTCTTGAGAGAACAATTCTAAACCTCTTATCTGTTCATAGGGCTATGAACAAGGACAAAATCTCTACCCTGAACAGTTCTTGTGTGACCAGCAAAATGATCATGTTGAAAAACATGGAAAGAACTGGAATGGCCTACATAATGATGAGGAGAAGAATCATTTATATGATGTTAAAGAAGATTACCATGGCCAGAATAGTCAAGAGGATCCTGATGCTGTGTATCTTGGTAGAGATGGGTTTAATCCTCCAAGTTGCTACCAACAGAACAATGTGTATCATCTTCCTGAAAACTTCACGCCATATACAAATGGCCTTAAACCAGAATTTAACAATCAGAAGAATAAAATAATAAATTTTCCCGATGCTGCGAAGGAACATCTTAAGGTATGTCAGAAACTGACACCTTTTTCTGTCTCTTGGAAAATTTTCACTGGTCTTTAACTATTGGTAGTAGTATTTCTAGATGCTTTCAGTCTCTTGCTATCAGTTTAAACAGTCATGGGAGACTTCTGTAACCTGTTTAAAACAAGAAAGCATTAAATAATTGGATTTTCATATGTGCATGTTAGGATTTTTTTCCCCCTCTTGTTGTCTCAGTAGAAGTCTATGATATAGAATGAATGTGATTCACTTAAGCATGTGCTTCCTCTAGTGAAGTTAACACTTCTTACCACTCTTCTAAAGTAGAAACTTTAATCAAACATTCCATCCTGCTTAAATGATGTGCTGGATTGGAGCCTGAAAATGAAGAGCTACTATGTATCTTCTTAATGTCAACCTATAAAATGAAAAGTACCTTCACTGAGCAAAACTACAGTTGTGTTTTGAATTTATTTCCTCTCATCTATATGTTCTCACAACAGCCATTTGTTGCATCTGATGTTGTCAATGGGCAATCGCCAGAGTCTTACAAAGTGACTTATAAACCATACCAAAATGGCATTCATCAAAGTATTCCAGTAATCCAGGAAGGAAACAGAAGAAATGAAGTGTTTGAAGATTTGCAGCGCGAATTCTTGGGCAATGATGAAAGTAAGTGTTTGCTGCTTAGACTTGAAATAAACTTGTCCGAGAAGTCCACTGGGAATCAGTGATAGAAAACGTTGATTCAGTAGGTTTTTTTAGTAAGAGAACAACCGAAAGGCTGTTGATGTATATGATCTTTTGTATCTAGAAATCTGCTGGTTTTGATCAGGGTGTTTGAGTTTCAGGATTCTAAAAATGTGGTTTTGACTGGTGAGACTGAAAGAAATTATCTCTGATGGCTCGATGTCAAGTCTTGCTGGCACTTTGTCTTTTCATAATAGTGGAAAATGACAACTTAGGAAGTGTACTTTGCATGATGCCATGTTGGGCTTTTCTGTTAGGTACATGTCAAATGACAGAACAACCTTGTTAGACATTTTGAAAACTTGTAGTGGCCACAAGACTCTGAATTCACACACATAAACCTTTATCTGGGCCTGCTGTTGGGTTTGAACCATGTTGGTAGTTCCTGTCATTCTTTGGCTGTTGCTGCCAGAGCCATCTGGGTGATGTGAATCAAATGTGGATTAAAAAAGTGATGCAAATCTGTGGACCAGCAATGAATTTAGCACTATCAAACCAAAGTATCTTGGAGCAGGAATTATGATAATGACTTTGTTGGTCTCTGTCTGACTTGTCTGCATGCTGTTTGAAATTGGGCAGATTCTTCAGAAAATATGAAGATCCTTCAACTTCAAGTTCTAAATAAAGCAAGAGAGAGACAACTGGAAGAACTGAATGAAAAGCTGGAAAAGAGTGCACAGCAGATTAGATATTTGAATCATCAGCTTTCGATGGTCAAAGGTAAAATGTTTTGTGCTAACTCAGATTTGATTCTTATCTAGCAACTTTGTAATTCTGAAACTGATTTATGAAGTGTCTCTGCAGGTATTTATCATATTTATACACTTGATTTGGGATTATATGCATCTAACCCTCTTCCCCCAAAACACTGTTCTAGAGAAAAGGCTCTGGATTGTTGCCTGTGCATTGGTGATTGGTGCATAATGGTCTTAACTTTTACTGCACTTTCAAGACCACCATTGTTTTCCAGGTTCCCTGTGTGACAGGCATCACAAATGTGTGGAAAAGTGAGAAGTTCTCTAAAATAATGTATTAAAAGTACAGAAAATAAAAAAAAAACCAAATAAGCGACAATAAAACCCCCAAGCCCCAATAGAAGTGTATATCTATGAAAAAAAGCCTTTTGTGTGTGTGTGTGTGTGTGTGTGTGCTGCCTGGTTCAACAAGCCATTTCATGGACTGTATGTAGAGAAAAGCTTTCAAAAATTATAAAATCTATAATGGAGATTAGTGGTTTTCTTAGTGTCCCATTTCTTATAGGAGCAGACAAAAAAAAGTCATGAACTTAAAGACTTTCAAATATAGTTGTTCAGAATGCAAAAGGAGCAAAGGAGAGAGAAAACTTCAACTGGCAACCATTTTGCTGTGTTTTGGCTGTTCCTCCAGGGGAATCATTTTGTCTCTCCTTTGGAGTGGTGTAAGGCATGATGCTAGGTCCTGCTGCTGACAGGATGTGGCTTGTACCTTCAGAACCCCAGTGGAAACAGTACATTGGGGTGCTCCCTGCCACCAGAAGGACAAAGTGGTTGCTGGATGGAGATTGACTGAATGTTTTTGTTCTGTCTTCTGTTGTTGCCCCACGGTGTGAGACACAGTGAATAGTTCTGTAGAGCAGGTACTGAACAGTTGTGTTCCATGAAGCTATTGGGTGGCCTGGCCATGTTTCTCACACAATTATTGTGTCTCTCTTTAGATGAAAAGGATGGTTTGGCTCTTAGTCTTCATGAGTCTCAGAAACTCTATCAGAGTGGGAAAGAACGGGAAATGCAACTTGAAGGTCAAATCAAAGCCCTTGAAGCTCAAATTCAGACTCTTTCTACCAAAGAGGAGCAGGTACTGCAAATATTTTTAGACCTTTTATTGTGGAAGACCTCTACAGTTATATCTGTGGTGCATTTGCATTAAACTTAAGTGCTGATCTCTTGAAATGCTGCTCATGATCGTTGCAGAAGCTGAAAGGATGATGAATGAATAGGATCCATTAGTGGAAAATAGTTTGCATTAAAACCCAGGGATTGTCTGAGGACTTTTAGCAACTCTTGCACAAAAAAACCCCCCGAAGTGACATACAGAATATTGGAACAAAAGTAAAAGATGTGTAATTCTAATACTGTTCCTACAGGTACTGAAGCAATCCAAAGTGGCAGAGGTAGCCATGGAGAGCATGCAGAAGCAGCTGTTGGAACTTCAGCGGTCAGATGCCCTTCAGAGAGCCAGAGAACAACATGAGGCCATTGTTTCATCACTCAAGCAGAAGTATGAAAAGCAAATATTATCTTTAGAGCAGAAGCTTGATACGACAACATCTGCACTCCGAGAGCAGGTGAGAAGGTATTTTAGGCTGCTGAGTACTATACTGGTGAGGCTACAGGACTCACCATGTTTCCTAACTGCACTTATTGACCTGTAATTCTGGTAGCTCCTTCTGGAAGCTGCTAAGGAAATGGCAAGGAAAGTCTCAATATTATGAAGCTTATGTGGCATGTTTTTTTAAACATTTCCAGGCAGTTGTGTGTTCAGATTGTGAGTTTGTACATAGCAGATGCAGAGGAGGCAAGAATTAATTGTCTTAGTTGCTCTCCTGAGCTTTCATGTATGTATTGACTTTTTCTGTATCTGAAACTGACCTAGGTGGTTAGATGTTTGTAACATGAATAGAAAGAATCTCTCTTCCTAGAAAGAGCTTTGCAAAAATCTGGGAGAGCATGTTAAGCAACTTGAAAAGATGCTGGAAGAAACCAAATGTGAAAAAACTGAAATAATCAATCGACTGACAAGAAGCCTAGAAGAAAGCCAAAAGCAATGTGCAAACTTACTGCAAACAGGTCAGCCTTTTACTCATACCTTATCTTTCCTTGCAGAAGTGTCTTCAATTTTTCTAAGTCTGAAATTGCATTTTGATGTTCCCATTGAAGTGGAATTAACATCAAGCTCAATGTGTATTACACCATTTCCTATGCAGTGCACTAGTCAAAGCTAAATATAGTTAAGTCTAGACTGAAATGTAAAAGCTAAGAAAAATAAAAACCAAACACCACCCCAAATCCCAAACAGATTAAGCTATGTACATACGTTTTTTGTGCTGCCTATGTGTAAATTTTCTTTTGTACTAAACAACAGCTTTTGAGAGCAAGCTGCTTAATTTTGTGTTAAGGTGTTTGACTTGAATTGCCATTCTAAGTTCAAACCTCAAGGAGAAAAGTATTGTTTTGGGGGCTGGAGGTTGATTCTTGGAAACCTGTATTGTAGGAATAGCTTGTGAAATACTTTGCTCTTTGTGTGTTTGACTTTTATCAGCCTTTACACGTTGAAGTCTTTTGATAGTAATGTTTATAGTAACTGTTAGTAAGCTCAAGGAAATAGAAACAGAGTAGTGTCTCTTGCCAGAATCAACATTGCTATTTTTAACAGATTTTTTTCAGATTGCATAGTCTTTATTGCATATTTATGACTTACTCTTTTTTTCTCTTTTCTATAATAGGCTCAATGCAGGAGACAAACCAGTTACGGTTTCAACTGCAACAAGCTCAGTCTGCACACATTATAAGCAGTAACATGAACAAAGCTTTGCAGGTTAAGAATTTTCTGAAATATTTTCCTGTTTCAATTAGCATTATAGCTAAGAGGTTGGTGGTTGGAGCACTTTTAATGTGTTGGAGAAGCAAATACATCTCCTTTAAGTCCTTCAGCTCCCAGTGTTGCATTTTGGACTTCCTCCTTCCCCCCATTTCAAACACAGCAGGGCTTATGTTTTGACACAAATCTGATCTCATAATGAAAGTAAGAGCAAAAGAAATAATACTTCATACATGAACTGTAATAAGTACTGTAGGGAATATTTTCTGTTGCGCAGTATATTTTAATTTGTAGTTTCAACATGTGCTTTACTAGAGGTATCAAAAATTATAGTATAAATTATTGCTAGATGTTTCAACAAAATGCAGCTAAATGCAACTGTATTTAGAAATAATAGCTCCATGTATTTGTTTTCTTTGGAAGAGTTGTCATGGGACTGATGTGTGTGTTTGGAGTCTCTCTGCTCAGCATAATTTTTTTTGTCTCTTCCCTTCAGGAAGAATTAATGGAACTGAAGGAAGAAATAACTTTGTATGAATCTGCTGCCAAGCTTGGAGTATTTTTGAATGATGCAGAGGGAGAGCAGCATACAAACTTGGGTGATTCCTATGTGGATTTGGGAATTAAAAAAATCACTGGAAAGAAGCCAGGGTTCTGCAGGTATTGAGTGATTCTTGCTGAAAGAAAAATCAAAAATCCTCAAGAAATTTATACAAGTGATGTGTAAAAAATCATCTTACTGGATCAACATACCATAAATTGGTTGCCTAATTACTGCTTAATAAATATTCAGATTTTATAGGGACTATGTTACTGTTCCTTGAATTGTATGGATACTTTTTTGCTCAAAGACTCCACATAGTTACTAAGAGCTAAAGCTTTCTTTACATCAACCAGCTGAGTTGTCTCCAAACACCTCCCATCATGTGAGAATGAATCTTTTGGGGAAGTGGCTGAATTAAACAAGTTCTCTATTAATTGCAACTTGATGAAAATACTTTTGTATCTATGATCTTTCATTCTTTTTGCTACTATGTTTTAGACATCTGTATTTGTCATAGCATTAGTTGCTCTTCTCTTTGCTACCACTGCCTTTCAGATAAATATGTTTTGTCTTTTAAATACTGAACTGGTTATGTCTTCCCTGATAGTGCAATACAGAACAGAGACATAGAAAAAGAACTCTCTAAAGATGAAATTATTGTAGAATTAAAAGCTGAGCTGGAACGTTTATTGAGCAGTAATAAAATGAAGAGAAACCAGATTAGTCGATTACAAAATGATCTTAAAGACTGCCAGAAGACATTAGAGGAATACAAGCAGTTGAAAGCAGAAGAAGCATCAAAAGTGTCAGAGGTTTGTTATTTTATACTTCTTTAAAAGTTAAGTGTGACTGGTTTTTAGTTAATCAAACCAACATTTAAACTCCTTATGAGAATAGATCAAAAATTTACCCATAGCTGAGTATTCATAGCAACTCTTAGGGAAGGTATTGGCATTGGGCTGATACCTTGTTTTGTGTCTCTGGTGCAAAAGAAAACTGAATAGCACAACTTGGGCAGTGTATGCATTCCTGGGTGAGTTCTGATCTGGTGCCTTATTTGCTTGGTGGTGCTTAATGGCCACTCTGCTTGTGTCCAAGTAAATGTCATTGGAGAAAGGAGATTTACTTTAGCCAAGAGGACCTTGTAGTTTCTCTGAGAAAGCTGATAGTGCTCTTAGATGATACAAATGGAACATTTAACAGGTTGCCTTCACTGTGTAATTTGATCAACAGGGAACCTCCTTGATATTGCATCTCTATTCACCCCATCATCACCTTCCTTTTATAAACTGGTCAGACTTGTAATACCTGCTTTTGTAATCTATACATGGTGACATGAATGTGGGATAGGAATACCATGCACTTGAGAAGTGTGCTCTCTGTTGGATGATAGTAATGGTTCAGCTTGCAAACAGTGTCAAATGTTGTGCTTCTTTGAACTTGTCATGATACTGAGTTTCAAGAATTCAGCTGGAATAACTGATATTGTGATATCTTGCACTGCAGTCATTTCCTTTGGTGTTTTTTTTTTTTAAGTACAATTTTTATTTGACAGCTTTTAACTTTTAAAAGCATCAACTTGTAAATTTTATAGATGTTGAAATATATCATCTGAATTTTATTTACTTTCAGCCTGTCACAAATCTGACTGATCCTTCGGTGGCCACTCCTTTGGCTTCTGATCATCTGAAGGAAGAAGTTCTGAGGCTTAAAAAGGCTAACCAAGCTTTGCTACAGGAAGTTGAGGTAAGACAGAGATGCTGCTTATCCCTACAGAAAAAAAAAACCCACAAAAAATCCTCATCCCCTGCTAAAACCTGTGATTAGAAAAGGTTATTGCAACCCACATGTTACTTGACCCTTGTCTGTCCAGGACCATACTTTGACTATTGAGAAACTGAGGGAAAATGAGGAAAAACTGAAAAGTTTAAATCAAGATCTCTGTTGTCAGATGAGAAAGATGGTTGAGGATTTTGATCATGATAAGCAAGAAGCCATTGACAGGTAAGTCTATTAAGTTTGTTTAGTGTAATTTGTGGAGTTTAGCCTGCATATGTAATCTTTTTCCAGCTATCAGGTACAAGAGGAGGTCTGTGTTAGGAAGGTATTTTCTTAAGGAAAAGTTGAACCCTGTTTGAAAGGGAGGGAAAAACCTCAGGTAATTATTTTCCTTTCTTGAAATTGTAGGTGTGAAAGAACTTACCAACAACACCATGAAAATACAAAAGCACATTTTGAGAAGGACCTGCTGGAGAGATGTGCTGCAGAGAAACAATGCCTTAGGCAAACTTATGAAGAGACAATATCACAGTTAAAGTAAGACTTAGTATTTTTTTCACTTTTACTGGAACTTTCATATTTCCTGTCTGGCCTTCAGTGCTAGTTACACTTTAAATTCATCTTGCTGTCCTGTGAGTGTAAAGACCAAATGATAATAAATAACCTGTCCTGTGAAGGGCTAATATAGAGGAGCTGAACAGAGAGATGACTACAGTGAAGGAGTGTTACATTGGACTCTCTAGGGAGAAGGACACCTTGGAAGCTACTTTAAGGCAGAAATTTGAACAGGAGCAGCAGCTGAAGGAAGAGAAGGTACAAATGGAACTATCTATAAACCATATCACTTCAGACTGTTTTCAAGATGTAATATTCTGAAGTTATATTTACTTTTGTAATTATTGGGGGAAGATACTTGGAAGAGATGCAGCTACATCAGAAAGGTCATGCATATGATCTTTTGGTTGTCAAATTAATCTGCTGCTGTATCCTGGGGTTTAAAATACTGTGCAAGTAACTCTTTCCAATACCTATTCATTTTCAGGTAGTGAACTTCCATAATTCTGACTCTTGAGGATGCTCAGTCAACAGTGTGAGGTTTTACATTCATGAGACATTTTAAAAAAAAAATGAATGATGATACAAGTTTATTTCTCCCTATATCAAACTAACTTAAAAATATGGTGGGTTTTTTAAGTAGCAATGAATTTAGACTGCTATATTGATGAAAAACTTTGCTTTTCTGAAGATCCCAGTCTGAAAAGACTGAAGCAGGTCAACAATCTGGCTAAGCAAGTACAGTAAAGAGATGCAGCTCAAAGTATGATTGCAATAAAGATGCTTGATAAGAACACTTATTTTAGAGCAATAACCTATAATTATAACCTCTGATACCACATCTTAAAACATCTTCTGAAAGCTGAGTCTCTTGTCCAGGTGTCATCAGTAGAGAGTGCACAAGCTCTAGAGAGTTGGTCATGTTTCTCATGCATTCTCATCACTAAGAATACTTAGTTTATTTATTTGTTTATTTTTATCTAGCTCAAGAAACAGCTGCTAGAAGAAAAAGAGCTGTCTCTCAAACTTCTGCAGACTGAGCTTGAAGAGAAACACAGCAGGTCCATGGTGGCAGCAAAGAGGCAGTGGCTGGAAGAAAAAGAACAGCAGGTTGAAAAGGAAGTTGCGTTAGCCAAGGTTCACTGGGAGAAGGAAGAAAAAGAGGTGTGGAATTTAGAGAATTTCAGATTTTTTTGTTGCATGTTTACAGAAACAGAGCTCGTATGTAGATTTATGTGCTGTTATTCTGCCATTGGAAGTGACTGCTAAGGATCTGTCATTTTAAGAGCCTCTGAAGAAGTCATTAGGTATTAGTCATGTTTAAGATTTTGGAAAAAAACACCAAGAACTTAAAGTAACAAGCAGAATATCCTGAATGTCACAGCTGGTAATATGCTGTGGTTTTCCACCCTGATCCTTGAGTGAGTGGTTATGCTTTCTGTTGTTTTATTGTTACCACATGAAAGTCCTTTGTGTATCCTGTCCCATAGAAGAAAGCTGTGATGAGTCATCAAACTCTCTCCTCTCTGTGTATGGTTTTGTTGTTCCCCTGTTGGGGAAAATTATTGGTGTAAACAGGTTTTTTTGTTAGACACTAGTGAAATTCTAGTTATTTGGACACTGGAGATATTTTCTTAAAAAATATTTTTCCCTTAGAATAAAGAACAAGTCATTGCCAAAATAGAAAGAGAATGGCAAAGTAGGCTGGAAGAAGTGAGAAGAACTGTAGTTGAATGTAATGACTTCAGCTGCCAAACTGACCAAACAGTTGTGGATGAAGTTCCAACTAAAGAGTTAGAAGGGACTGTTGAAGACCAGAGGCTGCAGATCCAGAAGGCTCTGAAAGGAAATCAGGTCTCTGAAGAGGCCTTAAAAAAGTTCGAATTAGAACTGGAAAATAAATACCATAAAAATCTTGCCAGCCAGGTAACAAATAATTGTTCTGTCTGCCTGGAGCCTGTGAAACTGCTGTGTGCACCTTAGTCATCTAAAATAACAAAGTGGTCTCTTCCACTATCATCTTTTTAAGCTCAGTAGTTATTTTCTCTGTTAGAAATACAGTTTTAAAAAAGTTATGAACAAGCTGTAGCATGTGTAGCTTGTTTGTCACATTGTTAAACAAATGTTGCATGAGTTCTGACCAGAAATGAGCAGCACTGACTTAGGTTTTATAGCATTTTGTTAAAGATAAATTTAATATTCATAATTTCGGCTTTTTTTCATCAAGAAATGCATCAAATGCTGCTGGTCTGATTCTTTTATTTCTGCAAACATGAGCAATCCAAACTGAACTCTGTTCTTGCACTGTTACATGAGAGTAATAATAAAAATGTATTCAGTGGTGGTGACTGAAATAGGATTTTGTTTTGTTTAATCTGCTTAAAGGTAGATGCAGCTTTAACCCAAGCTCGTGCCAAGTGGCTGCGAGAATTAACAGACCTCAAAGAGTACAAACTAAATCTAAAGCTAGAACAAGAAAAATGGGAAAAAGAACACCAACAGACTACAGCAAAGCAGGTAGTCCAAAATACTTGTGTGTGAGTATTGATAAACAGTTCAGTCTTCCAGGTCCCATACATTACTGAGGAGTTAATGCAGACATAGGCAGGGCATCATTAAGGAAAGGTGTTTCTTGTCTACTCTGGTTCATACCCATTTTCCCCCTATATAAGTTTAATTTTCATTAGCATGAAAGTATCTCCAATAGATTGATAATGACTCAGTTATATTTTATGTATCTGTAAATGTGTGTATGTATTTATAGTGACTGTGTTATATATTTACCAGTTAGCCCTGGTTCTCTCAGCTGCCGAAGAGAAATGGAAGAAAGACTATGAGAGTACAGAGAGATCTGGACTAAGAACGAAGGAACTTGAAGAAAAGATAATTTCTCTCAGGAAGGAATTGGAGCTAAAGAAAGAAGAACTCCCTGCAGCTATCAAAGCAGAACTAGCAAAGGCTCGTGCACAGTGGAACAAAGAAAAGCAAGAGGAAATCCTGCAGATCCAAGAGCAAAATGAGAATGATTACCGGTCGTTCTTAGATGATCATAGAAACAGAATTCAAGAGGTACTTGCAACAGCAAAGGAGGATCTTGCAAAGCAGAAGAATGATCTCTCCATCCAGAAAGAAGCAGAAATAAAGATGTTACTAGACCAAAAGCAGCGAGAATGGGAGGCTCAGGAAGCCAAGAGACTGCAGGAGGAAATTAATCGGTATGAGGAGAAGACTCTGGTTGAGCTTGAGTATTTGTTGAGTGAAATTCATGAAGAACTGGTGAAGTGCCCACATAGTAAACATTCTTGGAAGGATAAGGGTTTTGACACTCATGTCCAAATAAATAGTCAATGCAAAGACAGACTGAAGTCTTGCTTACAAAAGGCCTATAGAACCACAGTTTGCACAATTCTGGAACAGAAAGAGCAAGAATGGAAAGAGGTAATATTTCTGTAAATTCTGCCAGTCAGAAAAGGCATTTGAGCAGTCACTTAGACCTGTTTCTCAGGATTACATGGATATTTCACATTGGGAGAAAACAGAATATTCAATGTTTGTGTTCATTGATAACAAGAGTCCTTTAAAACTAAAAGATGGCTAAATCTACCATTAGAAGATGAAAAGGGTATAGCTTTGACACCTTCAGTCTTCAAAGAGAAAGCCTGGTTAGGCGTGTCATTCTTTATGCAAAGAGTCATAAATTAAGGAGATGAATCCACCGTCTTAGTCTGGGAGCATGTTGCAGATCCTTGTGACCTCTTAGGTGGGTTCTGTCATGGCTCACCTCAGATTTTTGCATAGCTGCAAAATTCAGTTTGTAGTGGTGATTGGATAGTGATTGTGGATCGTGTTAGTCTTTTTTTTCCCCTCCTACTTAAACAAAGAAAGATGAAAACAGTAAATCCGTTTTGCAGATTACCTGTAGGAGGTCAATTTGTCAGTTATTCAGTTCTGTCTTGGGAATAACAGTTGCTTATTTTTTGTTGTGGCTCTAGGAAGTCCTTTTGAACATGCCTGCCCAAATGAGGACAGGGGTCTTAACCTCTTCTGTAGGAGTTTGAGGCTAAGACAAATTGTGTCCAACAGCTTTTGTTTCTGTTGTTTTAGCAGATTCTTCTTCTTTAAATGCTTATGCTTGTAGTAAGTTTTTTGTTATGGGGAGCATTCCCCCAGAAATGCTGTTCCCACCCAGCATTTAGCAGCTTGGGAATTATCTAAGAATAGGACAGAGAGAATGTCTTGTTTTTCAAGAGAAGGTAGGATGGGGGAAAATGACTCTGTAGTGATTTCTCATGGCAGTGTTGCCATTTTTGTAGTGACAATGTGTTTCTGTTCAGGAAGTGGTCCTTTAGTGTTGTCTTGTCATGAGTCATATTCACGCTGGTAAAGAGAATTGGAAGCTTTTTTCATGTGCCTGATGCATCTTCTGTAATGGATATGAATGTCTCTTGGTAAATGTTTAATATGCCTTTGAATCTCAAAACGTTGGTTGGCTTGAACCACCTTACCTAGTGCAGTCTTTGTAATACAATGTCTCCTTTCTTTTTAACAAACAAGTTAGCTTCAGCTATCCAAAGACACAGTGTAGTTCTGCAGTGTTAAGGGCTACTGTCGTTTCCAAAATAATACTCAAGATACTGAGGTACTGCTGTTGCAGTGATTTATGCTAAATAAAACTTCTCTATCATAGAATAGATATTTTGCTCCTGATTTGACCTGCAATCTGCAGCTCTGTTGCAGGTTTAAAGTACCTGCATCACAATTACTAAAGCTCCTGGTGGTCAGGGTTGGTTGTTTTTATGTACAACATCCTACTTGCCTACTTGAAGATGGTGTGGAACACTTTTTTTTGCTATGTGTTGAGTTTTCAGGAAGTGTTTTTTCCATTGCAGAAATATGAAGAGCTAGTGAGTAATGCAAATAGAGAATCACACTCTTGCCCACTATGTGGTGCAGGAGACACTGGGGACATGGCAAGACCTCCTGTGTGTGTTGGACACCGAGCAGAAGCACAAAGGAGACTAAGAAGAAAGACACCCTTGCAGGAAACTGGAACAAACAAAGGTGCTGGGTTTGATCTTAATTTGGTAAATTGTGCATCATCAAATTAAGCATGTTAATAGCAATCTTTAATAGTCAGTGTCCTAGTGATGACCCCAATGCCAAGTGAGTTAATTAGGGAATATTTGGGTGATAGAGGAAGATACAGTTCTTCTGACTGTAAGGTGGTTTCATGTGGCATAAGCTAGGTTAAAAATACCCTGCAGCAAATGGTTCTGGTCTCCAGTTTACTGATCTGATGCTAGGCTTTGAGGTTTAATTTTATTGAATGCTAGGAGATTTCTGCTGTATAAAGCCATTCTTCAGGAGTAAAGAAATAGCTACTGTGTCTGCTACAGTGTATGTGTTCTTTGGATGCTGTGAACACTAACATATTTCTGTATATAACAGCTCATGTGCAGGTCAGTGTTGATCATGATGAGTGGGGTATGGTCTAAACTGTCTTGCCAATGGGTAATACTAAATTGGAGCTTTGAAGATGGAATTATACTACTTGCTCTTGACATTGGTCAAGACAAGGAATTCAGTATTCATGTAAAAGATGTTGTGTCAAGAGTTAGAGTTCTGGCTTAGAGGTCTTTTCCAATTCTTTTGATCAAGAATGTAGTAGAAAAAATGTAAATTCTTGGGTGATGTTTTTTTCTTTTTTCCCCCCTCTTCCTTCCTTCCTTCCTTCCCCCTCCCCTGCCCAGTATATACTTTAGCATTGTAGCTCTTCCCAAAGCTGTCACGTGTACTATGGCAAAGCTGGAGACAGTGTAGATGGGAAAAACTTGATGGAAGGGACAGAAATCTCTCTGGGGCTTTGTTGTTTAGTTTGAGTTCTTACGCAACTGAAAACCATAAAGCAAGAAAACCCAAGAGAGTCTCTGGCTTTATGCCTGCAGTGTGGCTTGAATTCCTTCAACACCAAAATAACAAACCATCTATTAACACAGAACAATACAAGCACTGCAGTGCTGCTGTCTCTAGAGCGCCCTGTCCTGGCTGGAGAGAGCAGCCACCACTCTCCTGGATGGAGCCCAGTCTTTGTGTCTTCCTTAACTAAACTCAGACGTGTGTGAGGCTTTCCAGCTGGGACAGTTTCCTTCAGCTGACTTCAAAAGACCCTGTTTGGCTGTTTTTTAAAAAAAATACAAAATTACAGAACATTCAGCCTGCAAGTCTCATTGCTGACTGAAGAACTCACATCACTGGTGGGAGTGCATTGAGGCTGTGAGGGCTCTGTGACTTGATAGATGCTGCCGCACCTTCTGTAACAGGGTTCCAGCCTCTTGTGATTATTTTAATTGAAGTGTTATATGCCTTCCAGTGAGAGAGAGAGAAACTAAGTAGAGCACTGGAAACAGTAAGGTTGGGCTTGATTCATCTCTTTTTGGTCCCATGTTGATGTATAACTTTTAGCAATTACTGTTGCAGGTCAGAAACATACCAAAAGGAACCTTGGGTCTCAGGAAGATTTTTGCTGTGAACACTGCTGCCAGGAGCTTGAAAAAAGAGAGGCTGTGTGCCAGGACTTGCAAAGAAAGCTAGAGATAGCCCACAAACATCTTCAGCTTGCTGTGAAGGAACATGAAGCTAAGTCAGAGAAAATCCAAGGTTAGGCTTGTTAGTCACCTAAAGACAACTTTGATTCTCTCATCTGTTGCATCTTTTAGTTTTCAGTGGGTACTGGCTTTTGGTTATTAACCTCAAAACAAACAGACAGAAAAACAAACCAACAAAAACAGCCAAGGTTTATCTTCTATCTCTCTACCTCAAAGAAAGCACAATTGCTAACCCACAAATTAATAATTCTTTTCTCATGTCTGTCAAAACAATCCTTGTTATTTTTTATCCCATCCTTTCTCTACATGTACACTTGATAGCTCAGAAGTTTTGCCTCCAGCATAGTGTTAGTAATAGCATGTGAAGGCTTTAAGCTTATTTAATTACTGTATGAGGTGACTTTTAAATTCAGACTTCATTGAAGTTTATTGGGATTGATTCCTATCTGCTTGTTGCTGCAACAGCTGCACACTGGCTGATGTTTTGTCACACTGAGCTCTTACACCAGAACAGCACTTTGTATAATAACTTCTGTTGAACTTGGAGAGGTGCAGTGAATTATGCTTTTTTTTTTTAATAGAAAATGAGAAGGTTCTAGAAGCTCTCATTTCAGAAAACTCCGAGATGAGGACTAAACTGAAAGACCAGGAATTGCCACCAAGGTATTAAAAAAAGCTAAACAAGATGATTTTTTTTTCTTTTGGTAAGATATGAGTTGGTATTTTTGTGGACTGTGACTTATGCATTTCAGGTTGCAGTCAAAGGGAGATGTCTCAAAACCTTGTACATCCTCTGACTTGGTGATAGGTCTGGAAGAAATACGTGCACACTACATTAAAGCTGTGAGCAAGATTAAGTGTAAGTACTCAAGTCTTAGCTAAAAAGTTAGGGGAGGAAAATCATTTACTCCCTTGCTTCTTCCTTCTGCTGTTTTGCAGAGGAATCTGACAGCCAAATCACAAGAAGTACGTTTTTCCTTCTTACTAGAGTGAATGTGAGAAATGGAATTGTCACCATTTGACAAGTAATTGCCATGGGTGAAGCCTAGTTACATCTTCCTTGCTTTGTTGCAAGTGGTAATGTGTATTTTGAGAACTGATCTTGTTTCTCCAGCAAACATCTACCTAACCTGCCATTTGTCCTGAGGAAGAATCTGCTTTTTTCTCATGCTGTGCCTCCTGGCTTAATCAGCAACCTCCTGGCTCAGGAGGGAGCATTATGTGTAGCACCAGGTCTTCCTTAATTTCAACAGGTCCCCAAATGCCAACTGCGCTGCCACTGGAGAGTTTATAGCCCATATTTTACCAGCCAGCATTCCTCCAAATCCCTATGCCTAGTTTATGTGGCTTAAGATGCAGAGTCAGGCAACTGAATTCCTTTCTGATGCTTCCTATCTACCTGCTGTGGCCTTCACTGGCATTTATCCAGTAGGCAAAGCTTGGCAGAAGGATTTGGGTGGAATGTTGGCAGGTAAATCCCTGCCCTTGCTGACTTGTTCAGGTCTGTTAGACAATCCCAGTTTGTGGTATTGGCTGTTTTCCCCACTCTGGAGGAAAACTGGTAGCAGTGAAGTGTGTTTGCAGGCGATATGCTTTGTTACATCCGGGAAAGTAAGGAACGAGCTGCTGAGATGATTAAAGTGGAGGTTTTGCGAGAGCGCCAAGAGACAGCGCGGAAAATGCGCAAATACTACTTGACCTGCCTTCAACACCTACTCACTGACAATGGGGGACAGGAAGGGTAAGTTCAAGTGTGTCTGGAAATGGCTGTTGGTTTTGCAAGAGGTGTGTGAACATTAGCCTGGTGTTTGTCCACCTTGGAGCATACAGTGCCTGGCCTGAAGTCCTTCCAGTCTGCTCATACTGACGTGTGGTCACTGCTGAGCTGTCTGGCATACTGTCTTTTCAGTATTCTCTGACTCTCAGTGACATTACCTTGGAGTAGAATGCAGAGTTGAAAAGGAATTACCCTTAACCTTGAATTATTTTTTTTTCCCCCCATGTTCTGCAATTCTTGACAGAGCTGAAAAGAAAATAATGAATGCTGCCAGTAAGCTTGCTGCAATGGCTAAAGGGCTGGAAACACCTCGTCAGCACGTTCCCCAAAGCAAATCTACCTGCTCAGGTATGTTGGATTCTGTAGTTCTCTTCTTGAACATACTGATTTAATGCATGCAGTAATGCAAATGCAGATGGAAAGTGAAGTGCTATTTATTTATAAGCTAGCTAATGGTCATGTAAATATAAGCTGCTTATTTTGACAATGCTTATGATTCTTCATTAAAAACAAACAAAAGAACCTAGATTTTCTTTCAGTGTTAACATTCCCTTCAATTAATCTTTTTCCTTCCCTCCTCTCCTAGCTCTGCAATTAAATTCTGAGCCTGGAGCTGAGTGCTCCAGAAGAGGTCGCATGCTTCAGGCCAGGTCAGACCCTGTGGAAAGCAAATCATGTGGTGAAGGCAATACTGGAAAAGCCAATGATAAAGTTGCCCAGAAACGTCTACCACGTGACTTGAGACAGGAGTTTGATGCAGCACAGGCCAAAACTCAACATATGCTTCATGAAACAGTGACTTCAGATAATAATAGTAATAATAATAATAATTCTAGAAGTCTGGGTGGTGCTTCAAGGGTTGCTCTACCAGAGTTTTATCCAAATGAAGATGGAAGAAGAGAAAAATACGGTCCTATTGTAAATGTAGACAAAGGACCTTTGTGTACTGCAAGTCATATAGTACATGAGAATGCTCCTCCTGCATCTGCTTTTCAGGTAACATCAGAAGATAGACATTCACCCAGCATTACAGATGGCCACACTAGCTCTGGGCCAATTCATCATATGCTTAAGAGCAAGAGTGAAAGAACTGTCTTGAAAGAGGATAAACACATTCAATTGTGTAGAAAATGGAAAACTAACTCTAAGAGAACTCAGGAAATAGATTTTAAAGACACTCCAGAAAGAGATGAAGAAAGTGGCAGTGAGTGGAGTTCTGAGAGTGGCAGCCTGTATCTGGATTGTGGTCATGTGCCTCTCTTGTATCCTCAGCAGAAGGCCAGTACTAATGTTCAAGCACAGACTTGTGAAGAGTTTCCTCATGCCAGGTCATTTTTCCCTGCGGATGAAAATACTACTACTTGGAGAGACATTTCTAGTGGCAATGGCAAGATTCTCATCACAAAAAGCAGCACAAAAGTTTGCAGTAGGGACCAGCAGATGATAAACCCAGAGCATACTTCATTCCTCAACTCTGACAAACTAAATTTTGCTGTCACACATCGCAATCCATCACCAGATTCAAACACAGGAAAATGCTGCAAAAATTGCTTGGAGAAAAATGGTGTGGAATCTCTAGTCTCATCAGCAAGATAGTGATTTTTAATAGCTCACTTTCCAA